ACGTATTTGTTTGACAAATTTGCACTTATTCATTGAGAAATAACAATTTTAGATGTCTTTAGAGTGCTTGCACCATAAGACATGTATAGTTATAATTATAAACATGACCTTAATGTACCGTTTTATGGTTTTAAAAAATTGTCGATCAGTGAAAATCTGTCGGTGCCACTGGGGTAGTTGGTACCCTCTACAAAAATCCCAAATAGTAAAATAGTAAAATTGATAAAGTGAGACGATCATTTATTGATGATTAATATTTGATTACTTTTATTCTATACTTATTTATACGATTATCAATGTTCTTATTTCCATTCATGCGTCTATGCCTATTCATTTCTACCTTGGTACGGTAGACATTATGACACTCTGATTTAATTTCACCAGCATCATTAGTAAAAATTCTCCAACTGGTCAAAATAGACATTCACTTAACAAATATTTACGACTTTATTATAAACAAATTGGTAATTATAATTATTTTATATAATAAACCACACACTGTGTATGACTAACTTCGATTATAAATGCCATCTTAATAGACTAAGGTATTCATTTTTTCAATATTAATCTATATGAGCAAGAAGTTTATTCGATACAAAAAAATTGTATATACATTTATATAAATAACTGAAACAATTGACTCGAATACATCCTAAATTATTAATCTGGACATTCTCTTGCAATATGGCCCGGCTAAGAAGTGCATTTGATTTGTAATTAAATATCACATATATTGCATGTTTTAAAAAGTAGTCAAAACTTACCTTTCCGCATCTAAAGCATCCAGCTGGCTTCTTATCTTTTGAATTAACATCACTTCTTTGATATGTATAACTTTTCGCTTTACGATATTGGTCGAAAATGTCGTCCTCATCGCCTTGGCTGTGTCCTACACCCAAGTATTTTTGCTCGCCAAGTCTGATTTCACCACCTTTAATTGGCTCCGTAATACCTGTCGTTGATGAACCTAGACCCGTTCCTGCTCCCTCCCAACCTATTAACATATTGAATTAATGAGCATAGCTAACTTTAAAAAGTCACATAACAATATTTTCATCCATGGCTTACCAAGTTTTTTAAGCATTTGGAATCCGACATTATGATCAGATATCATTTTATCTGCCCTCGCGCCTTCGTCACGATCCTTAACATATCCTATACCTCCACCGCTATATGAAGGCGTTCTCGATCTTGATTTAGAATATGATCTACTTTGATATCTATTGCGTGACGTCGAACCATATTCACCTGATTTGTGTCTATCGTGATCACGACTATAACTTCTACTTCGGCTTCGTTCATAGGATCTTGATCTTGACCTAGATGTAGACCTGGATTGGGAGCTGGATATTGACCTAGACTTAGTTCTTGCTCGTACTAAGGATCTTGACCTAGTTTTTCTTGTTTTGGATCTTGAACTTGTCATGACTTTTGATTTAGAACCTGTTTTAATTCTTGTTACAGATTTTGATCTAGTTCTAGACCTGGATCTGGAACGCGAATATGAACGTGACCTCAAAGGGCTCTTAGAGCGTGATCTCGAACGTGTTCTTGTTCTTAATGTTCCTGATTTCGTTCTCCTCCAATCATGTCTTGTCCTACTATGACTCTTATATCGACGCCTAGAGCTTGATCTTGAATGACTATGACTTCTACTGCTGCGTCTATGACGCTTGCGACCCCTCGAGCGACTACGACTACTACCTGATGAATCAGAATAACTATAATGTCTTCTTCTTCTTGAATAAGATCTTGATGAAGACCATGAACGCGACCTGGATCTTGAATAACTTTTATCTCTTGACCAACGACGTCCACGGTCATCTCTTTTGCGCCGATAGGATGATCGGTTATAATATCTTCCAGCAGCAGCAGCCCTTGCTGCTGCTGCTGCGCGGCGAATCTGTAAATCTTTGTAATAGTCATCTAAAAACCCATTCTCCCAACCATCTTTATCAAGATTACTCTTATTATTATTACTATTATTTTCTGGCGTTGCATTCTCATCATCTTCTTCGATAGTTAGCTCTATCAATTTCATTCCTTCATAAAATTTGTCTACTGCTTCAAGTAACTCTGGTGTTGGTGGAAGTCGGTGTGGTGGAAGTCTAATAGAAGAAGCGTGAATTGGCGTATATGGCGGTTCCTCAGGCTAAAAGAGCTGATAATAAGTAAAGCATTAAGAAAGCATAAAACACTTAATCAAATGTCAATATACTCTAATTACATACCGAAACAGCTGGTACCATTAATCCTGCCGGTAGTTCATAATATTTTTTTTCCGGTACAGCAGGTATTGGTGGTGTAACAGATACGTTAGGCCTTGGTCCTATTGCTTGCATTGACATGTCCGGTGGTGAAGGACCGGAAGGAAACTGACCAGGGATACCAGGTGGTGCTGGTTCAGAGTTAGGCCTCAAATGACCATGAGCGATTGGTGGAGACAGGTGAGTACTTGATGAAATAATTGACTGTGCTGGCGAATGGGCTCCAGGAAACATATTTGGTGGGGGCGGTGCACCCTGATTATAAAAAGGTGAAACATTCTGAGGATTTTGATAACGAATATGCCCAAAAGCGGGATGTCCTGGAGGTACCATCCCAGGAAATGTGACCGATGGCGGGCCACCGGGAGGCGGAGGAGGAACCATAACACCAGACTTCAAAGCATTAATTTTAATATCATCAAAGTAATGTTTATCGCCCCATATAGATATAATCTAATTGGTAACTAATTTAGATGAATAATTTTGTGTTAAGTAACTTAAACATTTATTGTAAATTAAAATAAACATTACTTTAAGAACTTTTTCTTGCTGTTTTTCATTAGCATCTATGAATTGGAAAGCAGAACGAAGTAACGCAAGCAAATTTGGATGCAATGCTTCTTTTATCCAAGGTTCTTGACGACGCTCACTGTGGTAAAGTATAATAACAATGTACGTAATTATATATTAATCCTACAATGTTTAAATAAAGTAAATAAGTTTTTTCTTTTACCTATGGAATAGTACATCATTAATCAAATATATCAAGTGTAATTTATCTTCAAACATAGTCCGAGATCTTGAAAGTGCAATTAAAAATCTTAATAAAACCTCGTAATGAGTTGGTGAAGAACAATGGTTGAATATCCAAGTTTTGCCTCGCTATATATATCATTTTAATGATTAGACAAACTACCGAGAAATTTAATATGGTTTTACAAAATAAAAAAATAGTACTTGAATATTTGATTGTGAGCAGTCATGCATAAGCATCCCTAGTGTTACTTGAAAATCATCAATTTCTTGCGGACCTGCTGTCAATCTTAACGCCATTGCAAGATTGTCAAACGCTAAAGATAGATCATCTAACGAGGGTGCCTGTGATGGCGGAGGTAAAGAGGGTCTTTGATATGAAGGCAAATATTGATTGGAAGGAACAGGTGGCGGCCCCTGAAAAGTCGAGTATGGTGGCTGTGGTGGAGGAAAATGACCTGCTTGCAAAAACAATTCAGGTTTAAGGATTGTATTCAAAAAATTGGAAGTATAACAAGGTTAAAGCTTGAAGTTCACATCTTGAATAGTACTCTTATGAGTTTGTTTCAAATTCCAGTTTAAAAAGAAATTATAAAGTTTCGAAATAATAAAGTTCTGAAATGTTCAAAAGATAAAAAAAAAAAAACAGAAAAAGAAGAAAAAAGAAAGAAAATTTCCATGAAGAGAAAGTTCCCCTTCTTAAAGATTGATTATTGTAAGCTTTGCGTCAAAGTATAAATTTCCAAACGAGCATACCTGGTGACAACCATTGGGACATGGTGAATAATTTGAGTGAGAAGTAAGTGAAAGTTCCTTATATACTACAGATTCGGCAAATAACGGAATGGGAAACTCATCATTGCCTTATTAGTGTGACATATTATCCCCTCCAGAAAGCGTGCATACGCAATCCGAAGCCACGCTTAACTCTATTTTTTTGTAGTATAAAACCATATTTTTATCACCTTGCGTCCACAACTGATTTATTTTTTCCAACCACCTCTGCCAATCCTTGACATTCGATTGCCGTAATTCTCATAACTCAGTGATACGGTTTTACGGCTTAACAGACCTTACCCATTCTTTCCAGATATTGGCTCCGTTAACAACACAATGTCGAACAACTACTCTTACGATTACATTATAAAGGTTCGTACTGATGGATTCATCATCGTGGATAGAACCTTGGTCGTCCTTCTGTTATTTACTTTACTTTTTTGTTTTCTTGGGACTTATTTCCTATATTGAAAAAGTATATTATCATTGGAGACACAGGTACATTAAAACATTTCATTTTAGATCAGCTTTCTTTACGCTTTCAAATCCAAATATTATATATTTATATATACATTATTTGCTTAGGTGTCGGAAAGGTATGATAGGCTACATTATTTTAGGGAAACTCTTTTAGTCGTATTGTCAAGTCGTTTTTAACAAAACAAGCACAAGAGTTCACAGTCAAGATTCGACATTGTGTTTGCTTAGAATGGAATGAAAAATTTTACAATGATTCAATGATCAAGCAGTTATGAACTAATTTTTAAATTGTGGCTTAGTCATGCCTACTTTTGCAATTCACGGATAAACGGTTCCAACCAGCTCATGACTTGACGATTGGGTAAATTTTATAAAAAATTATTTTTGAAATTTGTATTGTTTGTTAGAATATTACTATTATTTTGTATAATATTAATTCGTATTTAACATTTGTAGAGTAGAGTTTGGGGCACGTTTTGTTGAAGTAAGATATTTGCAAAAAATAGATGGAACTTATTAAATTAAATACCTGTATTCAATACTGTGTTAATATTATTTATAGGTTGAAGGAAAGAAAATTAAACTCCAAATTTGGGATACGGTAAATTACTTGGTCTTCATGATAAACTCTGAATCCTTTTATAATAACGATCTGCTGTAACTAGGCTGGCCAAGAATCTTTTAGGAGTATAACGAGAAGTTATTATCGAGGTGCAGCTGGAGCTTTATTAGGTATTTACAATTAACTGCTTTACCATTCATATTTCAAATGTTAACTCGAAGAAATTTCTATAGTATATGATATAACTAGGTATGAGATGCCAGATTTGTGAAAATATTTTGTGGTGAATAATTTCTATTCATCATATTTCATATTTTATTTTTCAAGGCGTGAAACTTTTGAACATCTTCTCATTTGGCTTGAAGATGCTCGTCAACATTCAAACTCTGATACGACCATAATGCTCATTGGGAACAAAAGTGATCTTGAGTCTAAACGTGTTGTCTCTTATGCAGAGGGTGAGGCGTTTGCGCGGCAGCACGGCTTGTTTTTCATGGAAACTTCAGCAAAGACTGCAGAAAATGTTGAAGACGTAAGACACTTTCTATTTTCTTTTAAATTATTTATGTATTACCTATTAAATAAATATTTATTTATTAGGCATACGTTGATACTGCTAAGGACATATATGAAAAGATCAAGCAAGGCGTCTTTGATGTCACAAATGAGGTTTGTCAGAACTATTATTTTTAATATCATTGAATAATGATTCATATTAGGTTTTCGTTAATATAGGGGACGGGCATCAAAGTTGGAGGTAATTCACACTCGGGATCTTCGCTTCCAATCAATGTAAATGCTGCCAACAATTGTTGCTGACCGATTGTTCTACATGGTCTGTTTATCCTTTGTCCTCTCGAAAGTGAATCCTTCACAAGTACCGTACATCATGTGTACGATAACTTTCTTTACAATTTCATTATTTTAAATGCTAGACGTTTTCATACCTTTAGGGGGTATAAGGCATCATTAATTTCATTCTTTTTATTACATTCAATATAATTTTGAAATTTTATTAATTTCATTTATGTCATTCATTTGTATTTTTATAAAAAAAAAAAAAAAGCAAAAAAAAAAGCAAAAAAAAAAAGAAAAAAAGTTATATATATTTATTTAGTTTACTTGTTTATCATTAATAACATCCGGAAGAATTATAATGCATCCGAATGTTGTAAATCTTGAATGATATCCATTTAAACTTTCGGTAAATAAATTACGGGTTTTCCTATTACTAGAAGTATTAATGCTAAATGTTTTTTTTGAGGCGTCATTGCTTATTTATTGCAATGTACCGTACTGTCACGAAATAACACCCCGGGCGTTATTTTGTGACACACAATTTAGGGTAAGTTAATTTAGCCGAAGAGTTTTAAAAACACATTTTTAGCACTCTTTAAATTATGTTTCGAAATAATGCCCCAGGGCGTTATTTTGCGACGATACGATACGATTATCGGTTGTTAATCAATTTTTCGGACACTCCTGCCAAGAACGTATATAATTGAAATTTATTATCGCTGATCATAATGAAATCCGATTAAAATAGAATTTGAGGTTTCTACGTATTAGACCTTTTAAACCTATTTATACTTGTTTACCATAAATTCTACTTCTAAAGCTGACCCTAACCTCAAAAAATACACTCAAATTTTTTATTTTTCGGTGGCTTATCAATTTTAGATTATATACTACGTATAATATTTCATTTTAAACATTGATAAATGTATTAACATTAGCAGGACAAACTTAAAAAATTTTTTCGATACGTAATAGTAACGCACAACATATACGATTTGGTTGGTGTAAATGTCCAATCAATTAATACGTAGTATAGAAACCATTTGGATCAGTCTGTACTAAAGTTTAATCAATTTGATGCTGGAATAGAAACTTGCGTATCATATTGTTAACTTTAAATGTATGAAATGGATAATTTAATTGGTCAATTAATGTAGATTATCCTCCTGCGTTAATGTGCAAAATTTTGTATATAAATAAAAAACTTTGAATTACAACCGAATCATAATATAATAATCTTAACAAAAATTACTACTATAGATAGAACGTCTACTCAAGAATATAATTCAATAAATTATCAAGATTTGATCAAAAAGTCCCAAAGCTTCATAATGGAGTTAAGTACAATAAGATAATACACATTTGAACATATATAACAGAATATAAATCTTGTAAAATATGAGATTTATATAATAATTTTAAATTTTCCTTTAATTGCTTAAACATAACAGTTAAATGAGGTTCCATAATGTACACCTATTCCGTAGCGGCTAACATAGCCGCTAGTGCTTTTATAGTATTTTAAGAACATATATATATCAGTGATAGAATCAAAAAAAACCCCCCAATAAAATAATAAAAAAGGATAATATTTACCAGCACCAACTCCTGATCCATCACGAGCCAAACTAATTTCAATTTTATCAACGTTCGATCCAAACAATTCTCGTAAAGCAGTTTTAAGACGCGCACTAAAATGAGGATAAAATTCAAACAAGGAACCATCAATCCCAACGCTGACTCCACATTCCACCATGCCACAGTGAATAATAACAGCAGCTAATGTCGTAGAAGATAGTCTTGCGGCACGTAAACCAACAATCTGACAAACTCTCTTAACAATTTGACGATCGGTAAGTGTGGTGGAAGGAATGTTTAGTAACTCTTCTAAGATTTTTCTGGCATTATCTAAAGTATGACTTTCATCAGCCTCGATGGCAGACATGTATTCTGTCTCAAAAGAGTAGTTCCTATTGAGTTCTTTTGAAGAATATCCATCAAAAAGTAGCATGCGGTCAACGAGATGTAGTAAGATATTGCGTGCTATCTCTCCGAGATACATTCCAGATATCATTTTTTCAAATATTTGATAATGCGGGTTATTTGATTCACGATCGAGCTTATTGTCGAACATCGTGATTGGAAGAGCTTTTTTCTGAATAAAAGATATATATTAATTTGCTTTAACATGGAAAGTGTAATTATAGTTAAATTTGGATAATATTTATATTACCTCACTATCGAAAGCACCCCATTCTACATTAATAATCATTTTTTCTGATGCATCTGGAATTTTATTTAATTTTTTGATTTTGGAAATTTCCTCATAGTATGCACCGTTAGTACCGGTTCCATAAATAATTCCAATAAGAGTATTGGGATCTTTGTAAGAATGAGATAAAAGGGTGCCCACAGTGTCATTGACTAAAGCTGAAACTACGACAGGAACTCCTTTGCGGTTCAATGCTTCCTGAAGCATAAACACCACATCTTTATTTTCACTATCGGAACATGTAAATCCTTTTGTCCATTTTATTAAATTCCCTTGATTGATGGCTGTTTGCTCCACAGGAAACGAAAAAGTGAACCCCATTTTAAATATTTTAGCATTTTCTGTATAATCTGTTACAAATTCAGCCAAGAATTTGTCGACGCAATCCGCTATGAAATCGAACAGTTGACGTGCAGATCCAGTTTTCTGGGTTTCGGTTACTCTATATTTATGTTGTTTGACTTTTATAATTCCTTCACCCTCAAAAGCAATCTCACAAACGCGAAGATTTGTACCTCCAAGGTCTAGAGCGAGAAAAGTACCAACTTCTTTACCAGTTGGAACACCAGTCACTATTATTATTTGAACGAATTAATTGTAACAATTGTTTCAAAAAAAATTCGCATGATTACCATCAAATTTTTCTCAATCTGAAATATACCAAAACTAGGAATCATCGCAACATTCATTCCAGTCTTTTCAAGACCCTTATCCATTTCATTACAAAAATGCTTGATAATTTCTGAAAGCTTTTCGACAGTTAAATCAAATTCTTTGGCTATTCCATCGATAACAGACAATTGAGCATTTGAAGCACCATCGATGTGATCAACTTTGTCTCTAATGATTGAGCTTAGTACTGGTGGCATTTTTAATTTCTGGGCACAAGATAGTTAAACTGAACGGGTAAAATTCGTATCCCGTTTTTATCTATAGTACGGATAAATTTTCGGGTAATCCGGATAAAAATTTCAGCATAACGATGGTCGTATACTCTTTTGGAAAAGCTGATATTATATAGTAATAAAAATGGTATTATAATAAAAATGATATTGGATGATAATCATAACATGTACTACGTAGGGGAATGATCTGGTAAAATAAATTTTTTATATGTGCACACCAGGTGAAGGATCAGTCGTGTAACATCGACGTTGATATTATTTCATCATCCCCTGGTATAAATGAGTGTCCTTATGTCAAGGGTCCGTAGTATCTCAAAAATTCCTTATATATCTAACATTAAAGATTGTGTCCTAGGCATAAAATTTCATGCTGAAAGCTTTTATTTAGAGGCCGGAAGTTAGTTGGCATAGTAAATTTTTATAATTTTATTGGATCCGGTTAGGGTCGGAAGTGATCTTCAGCGATCTTCAGCCCCGACTCGGTCTAGTCGGTCTAGTCGATTTAGTCACCCCTTGACTGACTTAGTCGACTTAGTCAATCGACTAATTAATTTAGTGATTTGATCGTTATTGGTTAATTAGATTATTGTTTTAAAGATAATAAATAACTAGGTCTCAGGCCCGGGCGTTGCTCCGGAAATAGACTTTAATTAATTTAGGTCTCAGGCCCAGGCATTGCTTCGGGAATAGACTTTAATTAATCTAGGTCTCAGGCCTGGGTGTTGCTCCGAGAATAGACCTTATTTTATCTAAATCTCAGACCTGGGCATTGCTCTGAGAATAGACCTTAATTAATCTAGCTCTTAGGTCTAGGCGTTGCTTTAGGAATAGATTTTAATTAATTTAGATCTTTGATTTGAAAGTTGTTTCAAAAATAAATTTTAACTAATCTAAGTCTTAGATTTAGATGTTATTTTAGAAATAAATCTTAACTATTCTAGTTGTTAGGTCTGTGCATTGATTCAGAAATAGATTTTAAATAATTTAAATCTTAGGTTCAGATGTTGCTTCAAGAATAAATCTTAATTAATTTAGATTTTTGCTTTGAGAATTGTTTTAAAAATAAATTTTAACTAATTTAAGTCTTAGATTTAAAAGTTATTTTAGAAATAAATCTTAACTATTCTAGGTATTGGGCCTGGAAATTGCTTTGAAAATAGATTTTAACTAATCTTAATCTTAGACCCAGGTGTTATTTTTAGAATAAATCTTAATTTTAGGCTCAGATGTAACTTTTAGAATAAATCTTAATTAATTTAAATATTAGACTTGAATATTGCTCTAGGAATTAATTTTAATTAATTTTAATCTTAAGTTCAGATGTATTTTTAAAATAAATCTTAATTAATTTAAATCTCAGACCTGAGAATTGTTTTAATTATTTAATTATATAATAAATTATTAAAATATAAAATTAAATATAAACATTAACTCTTTCCGATAATCATTCGAACCAAACTTTCCAAAAAGCTGAACTACAGAAAAACGATATAGTTAATATATTAAACTTTATAAAAACTTTTCCAGAATACTGTACACGCATAGTTGAACATTGAAATAGAGTTGAAAAAGAAGTTGCAGCTTTGTGGTGACAGTTTAAACACACTTTGGGACTATAGAAGAAGTAGTTGGTAAAAGCCAAAGTTTTCTATAAAGTAAACAACAAAGTTGGATATATTAGTTCTATAC